GATAGATAGATAGATAGATAGATAGATAGATAGATAGATAGATAGATGGATGGATGGATGGATGGATGGATAGGTGGATAGATGGATAGATAGATGGACAGACATGAAATTTTAATTATAAAAATTGTGTTTTTTGAGTCAAATTTTCAAATCCACTAAAACAAATGCAAAGATCTGTACATCAATACACAAGAAGAGATTAATAAAGACAAGTTTTATTTGATTCATTTGAGAAAAAATGACAAAAAAAAGCATCTGACATTTCTTTTTTTTCCCTCATGTCACTAAGACCTTAACTTCTTATGTGCTTTGCCAAAAAACAAAGAGCTGAAACCTTATTGATTTAATTAAGCTCCTCTTTTCTGTATTGATATCTTAGTATAATAACGGATGTTGCATATATTGTCTTCCCATATTGAACATGAAGGTAAAACCTGTTTAAGTTCTATGTTATATTAATTGTTTTCAGTCCACTGCAATGTAGATGTACCGTTGTTAAAAAGGCAAATATGGGGTGGAACATAAATTGCACCATTTATCGTATCATTCACAAACTCCCCAAAAAATACCGGTTTTATAATTAAACTGCAGTACATTAAATTTCATCTGCATAAGAAGAACATTAAACTTAGTTGAAGATGATTGCAGTTTTGCCTGTATTGATACACGTAGCAAAGCAAAGCCTCCTGCTTTTTAAAAACTCTTACAACACAGAAATGAAATTCTTTTACAAAACATCAACGGAAACCTTGCACTGCACATACACACCATCCATAACACTTCAACTTCCACTAAAGTGCAAACAATTCTTAAAGAGTTGGCAAAGAACTGCCACAGTCTTGTTCCTATACATTTTATAACTCCACACTGGACTCAGTCAGTTCGAAAGTCAGAACACATCAACCATAAAATCTTCTTAGTAAAACAGTTAATTCTTCCTTTTTTTTTAAATTTAGTAAATCCATTTGACTGATATTAGGTTTAGTATGAGGGAAGAGTCTGGCACAAATATCTCAGGTCAAATTAAGGTCCTTTCTTGAAAATATTACGTAACTAGAGAAGAAAAATGTCACTGAAGCACTGTCGAAGCATTAAGGGAACAATCAACAGATAAAAATACAAAATACTCTCAGAGTACGATAAGCGCATTAAACAGAACGCATAAAAAGACGACAGACAGTAATAAATTCACACAAGTGTCACCCACATACAGTATTTTTCCACAGTCAGTAACTCGCAAGAGAAACGATACTTTAGAAAAAACTGAAACGCGCCTGCATCAAGGTCAAGAGCCCGAGCCACAGTATTATTGTGATAGGAACCTCTCTGTTGTCTGTGGAACATCAGAAACAACCGTTTCTATGAACGCCCGACATGTGACGTCTGTCATACTGCTGGATGAAACGATCGAAGCCAAACTACAGGAAATGACGAGTTTTTAAATCAATCTCTGTGATTATCAATAACAAATATCGAAATGATGATTGTCCCAAAGAATCCGGAGTCAATTCGAGGACAAAGTGATTTTTTGGCATTCCTTTAGACAGCTTGTAACAGTCTCATGTCTGTCTGTCTCTTACTCGTTTCCAGAACTGCTCATGCAGTGCAAATACTGAGTGAATATAAAGTTAATGAAGAGCAAAACATGTGAAACCATCCGTGGTGGTAAAAGCACATCAGAGCAGAATGTCAGTCATCATGTCAAAATGTGATTAAACTCAATATTAATCAATGTTTGCCCACTTGAAAGAAGTCAGAAGGGCAGCCTATAAAACCACTTGTACAAAAGTTCATAAAATGTTTTTAAATATGATGAGCGGACCATGCACTTTGAATTCAAACACAATAGTAACTTATTTCTGCTTATCTCTCATAAACCTTCATTCATGTATTTCCATATTTTTCTCAAAAAAGTTCATATTCTCTCAGCTTTTACAGAGTTTAAATCATATTTACAGCACTATTTACATCTGTGTCTTCATATTAAATGCTCTGCTTTCAAAAAGGACTAACGATCAGCGGCGAACTCTCCCAGGACGAGGTCGCTACTGAACCTGGAAGACATTGATCTTGCTCGTGTTTTTCAGCGTCTGTCGCCGGTTGCAGAACCAAACTCTCACAACCTCTCGGTCGTAGTTCAGCTCTCTCGCAATTTCAGTGATCTCCTGACCCGTCGGTAGGGCATTCTTCTCAAAGTAAGAGTTCAGGACTTCTATCGCCTGCGGTGTGAAACTTGTGCGCCGCTTGCGTTTTTTGGAAGGTTCACCGCCAACGAACTCCATCAGGTTCTGCTGGCCCTTCTGGTTCCAGTGCTCGGCCTCAGCCAGCCACTTCTCCAGCACTGGCTTCAGCTTCTGAGCACTCTTTGGGGTGATATCCAGCTTTTCAAACCTGCAGCGCAAAAAAACGATCAATCTGTAGCATTGAATGATTACACACTGTATGCACGGTATCTCCATTTGATCCCTATGACACATTCACATGGATCAATTTGCAGGGCAGTAAATGAGATAGTTTAACAATATGTTTCTTCGGCCACTAGGGGTCTCTCAATCAGAAGAAGTTTGATGATGTCAGGAAGCAGTGTGGGATCACTAGCTAAATGGGAAATGTATTTAGATTTACTAGTCTTATGGACCAGTGTTCACACATGCATTCACATGCTTCTATAAACAGGGTTTTCTCTACCACATGCCGTTCGCAGCAGTCAGGGGCCATGTGACGTTCACTGTCTTGCCCAAGATCGCGATGAGTGGACAACCTGTCTGCTGAACGCCTGGTTTTTTCTTCTTCTTGATGCATGAATAACTCAAGCTCAATTTATTCAGTTGTGTTTCTCCTTTCTATTTGTAGGTGGCGCTTTCACTGGGGCTCTATAGTGACATCTAGTGGCAAAATGACTCCTCCATATAACCTCAAATGCTACAGGCTTTACCAGATATCAAACATGTCACTGTTACAACTGTGCTACGAAGCACGACTGTACTAACACAGCAGACCAGATGAAAACAGGATTGCTATTCATGTGCATGTAAATCAGGTTAATGCATGCACATATAAAATGCACCGTGTACACAGTGTCATTAAGAGCAATACATCAGTTTTTCGTAAATGAGGAACGCTCATATGTGCAAAGCAACGTGAAGTAATTTACCTGCAAATGGCAGACTGGCTGTAAGCCGGACCTTCAGTTGCGGTCAGAGCCTGTCCTACTTGCGTCTGCGTAAGCCCCAGGGACAGTCGACGGATCTTGAAATTCTTGGCAAACTCGCGAATTTCCTCCAGATTAATGCCCTCCTCGCTGCTGACTACCTGCTGGGGTTCTACAAGCGTGAAGAGTCGGGTTAAAAATACCAACCCACTTACAACGGATCTATGTTTGGAGGAGAGGAGAAGGAGGTGCACCTACTGCTGACAAGCTGGCCCACTTTTGCTATGTCTCCACAGGTGATGGGTACCGTGGGGGAGAGCGTGGTGGCGGTCTTCAGAACAGACGGCTGCGGGGCGATGACAACTGGAGACTGAGTGACAGTAGTTACCGAAGGCTGGGAGGAGAAAAAATACATAATATGCTCAGATGTAACCTGTAATAACACAACTGGCAAAATGTGATAACCTCCAGGGAAAAGAATCTAGTGGTATTCAAACATCGTAGTATTTTTACCTCTGTTTACACCTGTCTGTTTGTGTGTTGGTTGGTTTGTATGTTTATTTGTATTTGAGCAAGATTACACAAAAACTACTGAACAGATATCTATAAGTGTTTGCAATTTGGTTCATTTTGATTCAACTTAAGGGAACGTGAGCTGCACCGGGAGCCAAACTAGTTTTTTATCTGTTTCAGCTTTAAAGTGTAAATGCAATAATTATATATTTGTTCTGGAATCAACACAAACCTGTGTGTGAGGCTTGCTGAGCATTGGAGGAGCAGCGGCTTTGGGCAGAACCGCGGCAGAGGTGGCAGCTGTGACCGGTCCATTCCCCACAGTGGCGATGATCTGACCCTGGGTGTTGAGAAGCAGCTGCGGGGTGACAGTCTGGACCTGGAGACCATGGAGGGGGAGAGTGGACGTCGCAGTCCCTCCAGCCAGAGAGGCTGGGTTCACCAACAGAGGGAGGGTTCCTATAACCTGAACATTTTGTTGGAGTGTTGGAGAAACACAGATGAATAATTGAACCTAACCCTCTGTGCTAGTTTTCAGTTTGCTGACATTCAACAAGCTGTCAGGGTAACGTGTTCGCTTCGGGGAAAAGAGAACGTCCTTGGAATAAAAATCATCTCTTTCAAGATTAAACACTTCTCTGAACTGTAATGAGCTGCAATAATGGTGAGATTGAGTAATGAAAGACTTTGAGAGGACAAATCAGTTTTCAAAGTGTCTCACGCTCCACTGACTTCAAATAGAATTGCTGATTGATGTTAAACAGAGGCTGACATCCACTATGACTAAAAACAGAAACACAAAAACATCTCTATTGTCCTTGGAGATTACAAATCAAAACCGTGTAAGTTAAGCACACTGCTTGTAAATTACTCGTTCTTAGATTTACCTTTCTCATTTTGTTCTGAAGCCTGTGATGTGCTCCAGGCAATTTCAATCTAGCAGTCTGTTCTTGTTTTGGGCGAATTACACAACACTACAAACAAACTGTTTAAAGCACCACACAGAACATTCAACTCTGAACTCACAAACATAAACAGAAGAGAAACGGAGCAGCAGCTGTGAAAGCAGTATGTTATGTCACCCACCTGTCCCTGGGCATTTGTGATGATCTGGCTCGTGATCCCCCCCATATTGGACATGGCGCTGGTGATGATGGGGGTGGAGGCGAGGGAACTGAGGAACTGGGGCTGTGCTCCCAAAGAAGCTGCATTGATCTGAGCAGAAGAAAAATCACAACATGTGCACGGAGCACAAGATTTAATTGAACCATGGAGCCAGATGTTAACAGCTGACTCTACATGTAAATCACTACAGTGGTCTTATTACAATAGCGGGATTGATGGAGAGTCCTGCAGTCTGCAGAGCTGCCACAGATATGTTGGACTGAGCGACGCTGGTGGCCGCCGAGGTAGCCTGGGCTGCCGCCACCTGAGCGGCAGTAACCTGGGCATTGGTCACCTGGGTCGGCTGAGACGTCACCTGCTGCAGAGCTGCTTGGATCGGCTGCATGGAGGCGGCTTGAGGCTGGAACAATGTCTGAGCGTTTGCTTGTAGCTGGGGGTGGATAGAGTTCAAGACGGTCGCAGCTGAAGGGAAATTCAAGGGTATAGAATCTGTTAGCGTTCTGAAATTCTTTTTATTGTGACCAACACTGTTTAAAACATTATGACAAGAGAGTATAGCCAAACTGGCGCCTCTGTGAGGTTGAACTCAGTTACTGACGCTTAGCAGGGATTGTTTACCTTAATTAAAGTAAGAGTCACTTAAAACGACAGATGTTGATCTGCAGATCTCCTCTCCTTCCTCTGTAAAACGTTTCATGCTGATCCACCCAAAAGTTGTTGAGATATTTCCATGTAGAACAAGATGGAAGAGCCATGTGGTTGCATTCATGGTTATTTAAAGAAATTAATTCTTGTCGAGAGGGGATGTGTGTGTGCTGTGATTCTATTGTACTTTCCATTTTCAGTCGGAACAACAGAGGCCAAATGGGCAGCACACGTGCACGGACACGGAGTTTGGTGTTTTACCTTGAAGCCCAGCGAAGGGCAGCTTGAGGAGGTTTGCAGCCGTGTTGGCTGCAGTGAGCCCGGGGAGAGCCGCTACATTGGTGGTGGGGAGGGTGAGAAGAGCCAGGCTCCCCTGACCACCAATGGAGCCGGCCATACTCAGGGGGATGAGCAGGGGCTGCCCCAGCGACCCTGTCTGGGCCATCATGCCGGTCATCAACGTGGCCAGACTTTCCTGGGTCAGCACCTGGTGAAGAGACAGATAGAAACTGAGATGATTAATGATTATTAAAGGGCAATTACACTGTTTCGGTCCTACATGATCTTTTATTGTGGTGTTTTACAGGAGAAATTTTATTCAACTATAAAATGATATGATGATACAATGATGAATACATTATTCATTACTTTTAGACAAAATTAATAATCCAGGAATAATTTTGTGCTGCACTTTTTAAACATGACTGTTTTCTTGGTCTGTGGTGGAGCTGGGTGCAGTTTCCTTTCTGAAACTGTCATAGTAACCTGAAGTAATTGAACCCTGAAGCTGCACCACCGCTGCTGCACAAAGAGCCGTTCACCTGTTTATTCAACTTCAGAGAAACTAAACCCAGTTCACTGAGCCCTGAACTGGGGAATATCCCAAACCCTTGTTTGGTTCTGACTTTTGTTTCAGGTCAACTCAACCAGGCGACGGGATTCTGTGTCTGACTTGAGATGAACACGGAAAATGTGTTAAGTCATGGTCTTACCTGTGGACAGCCTTGTACAGTGATGGGCATGGTGGCCTGTGGCTGCGTCAGGGACACACTGATGGGAACAGCAGAGGTCAGCGTTTGGACAGCGGGGGTCGGAGCCTCGACAGACACCACCTGCTGCTCACCCAGCACTGCAGGATAAACGGACAGGGTTGTTTCTTAGTGACATTTGAAGTAGATTTCTCAGCTTCCAGCAGCAGTTCTGAAGAAAGTGTGTCGCACACATAAGAGCAACAAGTCACCTGCTATCCAAGACCATGATTTACCTATTCCCCCACTGCTCTGGGGCACAGTGGGTTCCTCCTGGGTGCTGCCGTCGCCCTCAGTTTGCTCTTTTGTGGCCCGAACCACTCCCTCCACAATTTTGCCTTCACTCTTCACATTGGTTATTGTCAATGGCAGCGGTGCATCGACCTCCACCTCGAGCACACGGATGGTCTCATGGCCGGACATCACAATGACCTGCGCAGTGACAAGGAATTGTTGCTAGGGTTGACACAAAACACAAAACTATTATTGAAGACAGATAATTATATATATAAAAAATAATTTTGCGGTATGCAACAATGATAGGCCGATAGGAGAGGCAGCGAGACAACCTGGGCTGGAGGACAAAGTGCAGAGACACAATGCAGGAAGAGAGAGAGAGAGAGAGAGAGAGAGAGAGAGAGAGGAGGATGCATACCTGGTTGTCTTTGGCAGGGAATTTCAAAGTGCAGGATTTAAATGGCTGAAAAAAGACTTCTGCTGTCAGACAGTGAATGGCTAAGGAGAACAGAGAAGCCGAGCACATATTAGGAAACAATGACCAAAAGAAAAAAGAAAAGAAAAACAGACACAAATGAGAAGAGCATGAGTACACCCAAACAATGACATAAGCATCAGCCAACAAGCATCTCAAGCAATGTTTTCTTCAAGCTCCCCTCGTGCATCAGTGAAGAGCATTGCTTTTGTTTGCTGACTATGTCTACACACAATGTTACTATAGAGAGAGAGGGGGAAAAAAAACAATAAATTATTAAGCGTGACAGTTCAGAAGCTGGTATCCCTCACGAGCAAAGAGCAGCAGTTATTATAAGTTGGTAAAACATAAAACGTGTGATCTCAATGAGCCGTGCATGTGGAGATTTAATCACTTTGTTATGATGCGGTGTCGGCACATGGGAGGGCGACAGGAGCGAACAGCAGCAAGAACAAAAAGACGATCTTGTAAACTACAGGTTTGGCTGAGCTGTGTGTGGCCTCTCACTGCTCCGACAGCGTTACCTGCTCATTCACAGTGAGTGGGGCATCTTTGGCAGGGAGATCCTGGGAGTTCATGGCTCTCTGCTCCACCACCGTCACTGTTGTCCTGGCATCCTGAGCAAACACACAGAGATGAGATGAGATCAGTGGTGGGCACTGTTGCCTTTTCTCTTTTTTGCACAGATTAGACAAAAAATGTAAAACTTGCTAATTAGCAAATTATAAAGATGCTTGTGGTCCAATTTTTTAATCTTTCAATATTGCGCTCCACATTATCTAGGAGTGGTGGTGGGTGGCACCGTCGCCTCACAGCAAAAAGGTTCCCGGTTATGATAGTGAAATTGCACAGATAGAAAATTATTATTGCAAAGTTAAATTAACTTTATATTTATAATGTGCTTTTGATAACTCTCCTGCAAATTCTTTGGGTGACTCATTTAACATCAGTAGACAAACTGTTAATAACTTCACCACCTCCTTCTAAGTGTGATTTGGAATAAAAACGCACGAAGGTGACTGTGCAACTGGGCAGAACTCTAGTAAGTAAAAAATGCAACGTAAACAAAAGAACTATGAGAACAGAAACATGTACAATGTCAACTAAATAAAAGCAACAAAACAGTTATTGCGCATATATGATACTGAAATTGTAAGAATAGAAAAGGGTGATTCTAGTGTTAAATTAGTTGGAAAGGATCAGCAATTAACAAAACCTCACTTTGGCTGAATCAGTCAACAAACTCTCTAAAACTTCACCTCCTCTTTCTGATGTGCTTTGGAATCAAAACACATGAGTCCACACTTAAGGGGGTAAATGCTGGTTAAAGCAAACACACATGCACAGAGGACAGTACACTAGTAAGTAAAAAAACACAAGGAACTATAAATAAAATAGAAATATGTACAATGTAAACTAGTAAAACAGTATCACGCTTGAAATCGCATGGATAGAAAATGATGATTCTAGTGTGAAATGAAGTGGTCGCTGGTCTGACAGAACCTCTCCTCCAGACACTTTGGCTGAATCTGTCAACAAACTCTCTCTGATGTGATTTGGAATCGTAACACATGAAGGTGACTGTGCAACTGTGTCCACACTTTAGGGGGCAAATGCTGGTTAAAGCAAAACCCACACGCAGAGAGGGTTGGGTTATTTTTCTCATGGCTATTTCTGTCCTTGCAGGACCAGACTATTTGGAGGGGCCTGATAAACAGGCCACGGTGAGAGGCTGCAGAGAAACGACGTGAACCCCGCGGCTGTCGGACAGAGATCCGGCTGCAGATTCCTCCTTTCGGTGGAACAACCGTGAAGTTGCTGTGTCTCCTGCTGCTCGGCCCCGTGAGGACCGAGGATCTGTCAGAAACTTCAGCGGCTCTTCGTGGGCTCCCCACCCCCATCCTGCCCGATAAAAGTCTCGCCTCCTCGGCCACTTTTGGGAGCCGAGCACCCACCGCCGAGCCCCGGCGACAGAAACCGTCCCGACCCCGTGTGTGCAGACACAATATTATGTATTCCCCTCTCTTTATCATAAATATATAAATTATGCTAATTACAACATTGCATATTAACCCAAACTCATTTCCTCTCGCCATGTCGCTGCTGCACGCGTGCGGCGCGGGGCTCGAACACGGTCCGGTTTCATTATGTCCAACTTACCGCGTCTGTGCAGCTTATTCCCCGTGATTCTCTTACAACCAGCTCCGTGTCACAGTTTGTTTCAGTCACACATAATTAAAAATTCATCTCAGCTCCCAGACAGGATCTGTGGCTGCGCACAAAAGAGCCATTTGCATTGATAAGGAGGCTCCGGATCTGCTCCCTCTCTTAATATTTAATGACGACGGCCCCTCAGACTCTGTCCTCAGCGCCGGGATCCTTCAGGTGTCACAGTTCGATCCCATTCCGACACAAAAGTCGCGCAAAATTGCCCGAAAATTGGCCTTTTGCACTACGTCATGAACATAATTTATGCAAGGAGAAAAAAAAGGCTCGCATTGAAAAATGTCTGCCTCGACCTGAGAGGAGCCATGGTGCTCTTAAAGGGGACGTGCCCGAGAGCAGGAGCTGGAGAGAACACATCTCAACATAACATAACATATAATATAATAACATAACATCTCATAACATAACATATAATATAATAACATAACATATAATATAACATAGAACATATATAACATATCATAACATATAATATAATAACATAACATCTCATAACATATAATATAATAACATAACATATCAAAACATATCAAAACATATCATAACATAGAACATATCATAACATATCACATGATAACATAGAACATATCATAGCATATAATATAATAACATAACATCTCATAACATATAATATAATACATAACATATCAAAACATATCAAAACATATCATAACATAGAACATATCATAACATATCACATGATAACATAGAACATATCATAGCATATCATATCATATCATATCATAACATAACATATAACAACATAACATTATAACATAACATAACATATCACATGATAACATAACATCTCATAACATATAACATCTCATATCATTCATAATATAACATATAATAACATAACATAACATCTCATATCATATCATTCATAACATATCATATCATAACATATAACATATAACATATAACATAATATCTCATAACATATAACATGATAACATAACATAATAACATATCATCACAAAACTTATCAAATGATAACATAACATAATAACATATCATAATATAACATATAATAACATGATAACATAACATATAACATTACACAGGTTGTTTTGTATAAGATCGTATCATCTTCCATGTCACATAGTTAGTGAGTCATAAATATGCGATAACACCATTTTTTATTTTTGTATTTTACTGAGAAGTAGCCGGGACACTGCAGGTCCTGACCACACGGCTTAGTTCTGATGAACAATCAGATGCTGGACACAGAGATTGTTGAACTCAGGTTTATAACATTTAGATACAAACCAATACTGTGAAAGGAGAACATGATGTACATACACTAATTATTCTTTCTATCCATCCATCTGTCCATTTATCTATCTATCTATCTATCCGTCTATCTATCTATCTATCTATCTATCTATCTATCTATCTATATGTCTATGTATTTATCTATCTATCCATCTATCTTTCTATCTATCTATACATCTATCTATCTATCTATCTTTCTATCTATCCATCCCTCCATCTGCCTATCTGTCTATCTATCCATCTATCTATCTATCCATCTATCTGTCCGTCTATCTATCTATTTATCTATCCATCCATCTATCCGTCTATCTATCCATCTATCTATCTATCTATCTATCTATCCATCCATCTATCTATCCGTCTATCTATCTATTTATCTATCCATCCATCTATCCGTCTATCTATCCATCCATCCATCTATCCATCCATCTATCTATCTATCTATCCATCTATCTATCTATCTATCCATCTATCTATCTATCTATCTATCTATCTATCTATCTATCTATCTATCTATCTATCCATCCATTCATCTATCTATCTATCTATCCATCCATCTATCTATCTATCTATCTATCTATCCATCCATCCATCTATCTATCGCCTCACTCCCTGGCTGCCTCTCCTGTGCCTGCCTGTGGGGGGCGCGCGAGAGCGCGCGAGTCGTCTGCGTGCGTCTGACAAAAACGGAGCGCGCACGGAGAGCGAGTGACGTCAGCACTTCCACAACAACAAGAAGCTGAAAAACAAGGAAGTGGAGGAATCGCGAAGCAGCAGCAAATCTGTTCCAAAGGCCGCGACTCGATACGCAGAGTGTCCCCGTGTTGAAAGCCGACATCCCCCGCAGCCTCCGCACCGCTCCGCCGCCATGAACAACAAAGGTATTTTGTCCGGACTCCGAGCCGGCGAAGCTCCGCGCGACGCCGACGGCACAAAGCGGCGATGAGGAGCCGTAATGGCCACAGATGAAGGAGGCTCAGCGGCGGACTTCACGTTTAGCTACGTACATGGCGAACCGACGCTTTCTGCTCGGCGCCGAGGGCATCCGCGTTCACCTCGGCCGCGTAGTTTATCTCCAGAAAGCCCCGCTGGACACGGCGAACATCTGGATCCGCTGTCACCGCACATTCCCGCAGCTTTAATGGCCGAGGCTCGTGTTATCTGTTAGTTTAGCATTAGCACACACACACACACACACTCAGCAGGTTTAAAGGCAGAGATGATGCCTTCTCTTGTTTTGTCAGACGGAAGCATGGGAATGTAAATGTGTTTATATTCAAACACGAGCGGATACTTCGTTTCTTCCGCTATTTATTATTTACTCGATCGCAGTTTTAGGCTAAAGGGAAATTGCAATTTTTGAATTTTGATGTTTTCAGGATTTTTGTTCAAAAATCCTAAATGATCTGAACCAATGGGAATTGTGAATCTAGATCTAAATCCATATTGTTTACTGGACCAGAGCTTAAAAAAATAGTGTTTTCTTCCATTTAAATGTGTCTGAATTTTAATTATTGTTTGTTCAGGAGCAGGGTGTAAAAACTGAGAGTAAATCAAATGTCAAAGCATAAAGACCAACATTCAAACCATCAAAATTCAACTGAAATATTTGGTTAATTAATTTATTGGTCTAATTGACCAGCAGCTAATTTTACACTGTTCTATGATGCTAAAATACCCAAAGTTCCTCAAGCCCATGGTGACGCCTTAATGCACTTATTGTTCAAAGAGAAGACAAAGGAAGTAGAATACTTATATATCAGTGTGATGTACACGATTATCAGAAGAGTTCATTTGAGTTTTTATCATCGGACGGACTAAACAAATGGGGCAACGCAACATTATCAATAATCATCGCAGTGTAGCTTTAATCAACAGTAAGATAACGAAGGTTCAGTATTTATCGGTGTAATGTTTATGAATGGTGTGAGGAGGTTTAACGAATAACTGGTCAACCTCAAGATGCATGAAATGTTTTACTGTTTGTCACTCTCTTAAAACCACAACTTTCAATCAGGAGCATAAATAAGTCCTTAAACTTAAAAATAATAATGAGACATTTATCGTGATGATTAGCGATGTGGACGAATTTATTCTCTATATATAAGTTTTGGCCACATCTTCCATCAACCCGACTATTTGGTGCAGTTTTGTCACGTAAACGGATTCATGGACGCCCGAGAGAGACGTCTTCTCACAGCCTCAATAAATAAATATTTCTTGAGTTTAGTGAAAAAAAGACCAGATGACAATTATTTGCTTTAAAGTAAAGTCTTGTTTTGCAGGTCCCTATCCACAGCAGGCAGTGTACCCTCAGCAGAGCACTGCACCTGTATACCCTCCTGCTATGCAAATGTCCCCTCAGGCACCTCCCTACACAGACACACCACCTGCATATTCTGAGGTAACGATTATATTATTATTATTATATATAATATTTAATAATCACAGTAACCGCTCTGAACCATCTTAAACCTGTCTGTCCATCTCTGTGTCTGCAGATATACCAGCCCAGATATGTGCTTCCACCTCAGGTGCCTGGTCAGATGCCTCAGATGTCCTCTCACTACCCTGGTGCTCAGGTGTTTATGCCCATGCAGCCACCGATGGCTGTTGGGCCAGTGGGTCAGAATGTCCCCATGGCTTACTATCCCATGGGAGCTATGTACCCGCATGGTTCAACAGTGATGGTGGACGGTGGTTTTGACGCTGGTGCTCGCTTCACACCTGGCAGCAACGTTTCCATCCCAGTGAGTATCCACCTAATAAGCTTATATCTGATAAGTCCAGTAATCTCTGTCTGTCTGGCGTATCTCGAGAACCATTGATCTTAACGGCTTCACACTTGGCGTGTGTATTGCAAACGGTCCAAGGAAGTGCAGCGTCTAACTAAGTGCAATTTGGACACAAGATACGTTCAATATTAATAAACTTTGAACAGACAAGTGACCACTGCTGTGTAGCTGTGGCAACTGGGACTGATTAGCAACGATGGCTGGAACTCTCAGACATAGGTCACGACAACTGATTCTTCAGGTCGCAGTTGTGCGTGCAGAGTGGAGCTTCACTAAACTCTGAATAAACAGGTGAACAGCTCTTTGTGCAGCAGTGGTCGTCCAGCTTCAGGTTTCCGTGGATTGAGTCCGGCAGCAGGTCTTTACTTGCCTCGGCTCAATAAGTGCAGGTCAGTAAGAAATCTTCGACCAGAGTCACCAGGCCAAGCAAACAGATCAGGCACCGCACGAGTGATTTGAAGGAGCCGTGTCAGTCGCAGATGGGTTGTGATGTAGTGTCATCTCATCCTTTATCGTTTGTATTATTTGTGCCTGTTTCTTCTCTCCCCCAGCCCCCACCTCCTGGACATCCCCCCAACGCAGCTCAGCTGGCTGCCATGCAGGGTGCCAATGTTGTAATGACGCAGCGCAAGAGTAACTTCTTCCTGGGTGGATCCAGTGGAGGTTATTCCATCTGGTAACAGCAACTTCTCAACTCCTCCATCATGCCTAAACCGTGTCCCTCGTCCCAAACTGATGCCCCAGTTCTACCCACATCCCATACGCCTCCCTCTTCAGGCTGCTTGGCCATGCCACAATACTGATATCACCTAATGGAATGTAATATTTTAGAGCCCTTGTGAAAGGTACAGTACTCCACTTGTGACATAGAGATGAAAAGATAAATGCCACCGCCTGGAGTGATAAGATAAAAAATTTTAATGTTGTAGAATCCTTGCCACAGTTCTTCATTGGCTTAATCCAAATTGAACCTCCAGGCGTTTGTTGAATAGACCTGGTCTCCTTTGATCAAATGGATCACAAATTAAAATGAATATGTACTTGTATACCTGTAAAGCTACGTAAATGAAATGTTGAAATATCAGCCCTGCATTATTTAGTTTAGCTGCTTTATGGTGAAAGTGAAACGCAGTTACAAAGTTGCAGTTAAAGCGCAAAAAAAAAGAAATCTCCACTTGTCTTTTTTGAATACTTTTAGTGTAGTTAAATTAATAGATGTGTAAAAGTTCCATGTAAATACCAGTATAACCATGATCAAGAGAAATTACATCTCAACGATACAAAAAAAAATCTGCATCTTGGGTGCTCTTAGTTAGAATTGTCTTGTCTTTTGCACAGTATCTAAAACACCACAGACAATCTGTTGCACAGTGAACTGCCCATCTGACAGATTGTTACATTTAAATCATGTGTAAATTAAATGAATTGACGTCAGCAAATAATTCAAGAAAAGATTCCATGTAATATCCAAAGTGAATTACTGTACCTTGTTGGGCAACTTGTAGATGAACATAGTCAAGTGCCAAAGAGCACTGGGGATAGCCCTAATTTAAAGCAAATTAACTTCAGTAAACTTAAAGGAAAGAAATTTAAAGTAAATCCAAATAGTAAGTTGAACGGGAAGGGGTGGTTGGTGTAACATTTCAGCTTTTTTTTGTCTCCTGTTTCTATTTTACAGTCGGATACCCAGAGTTTATACACTAAATGTTTATTGTGCAGGTTTGGAGACCTACCCTCCCTCTTGTTTCTCCTCCACAGAGTATAATTTGGTGTCTTCAAATAAACTTTTTCCACCGTAGATCAATGTCACCTTTGTGATATAGCATTTGCTTCTAGTCAACATTTTCTAAGGTTGAGGAGACTTAAATATTTCAGTGTTTAATTTCTTCCTTCGTGACTTTTCCACATTCGAGTGATTTACACGAGTAGTTAGGTTTTAAAGAGATCATTGGTCGAACCAATGAGCTGGTTGTACCAAAGATTTGGTCGACAATGCACTTGATGTTTGGTTGTGACTTGGAAAAAAAAATAAATGTCACAATTTAAAAGCAAACATATCATAGAATAAGCAGTGGTGAGATCGTTGGCACCTAGAACCTTCAGTCTTCACGTGATCGCAACTGTTAGTGTGTTAATGTCACTTTATGTAGGTCAGTTGCATCTTTAAGTTGTTGCATACTTTTGCACCTTTGCTGTGTACAAATTTGATTAAATACTTTTTACCTGAGATGCACTGCTAAGCAAATCTGAGAGGTTGCAGACAAGGGGCTACTCTCGGTCTTTTTTTAATTCCTGGTTTCATGTCTTTTTAAAGAAAGCTGTGAGATTTTTGAACATGCATTTTAAAATGCTTTTCCTTCATCAAGTCTATTCCATTTTTTTTAAAGTAATGTCGAGACGTGTCGTGTTGTTCAGTAGATTGAAAGTGTATGCAAACGTTTTTTGCGACAAGGCTATGTCACTGTCAGCATAAATCATTTCCAAGACATTTTTGTGCTGCTGATTAAAAACCTCTTTAGAATATTTACATAATTTGTTATCATACAAAACTTTAAATATATGGAATTAGCGGAGTCTGTGTGGATACCATCAACTGATGTTTGTAGATATTCATTTCGATGTCTGGTAGTATCAATGTGTCACTGGGTATCCGACATACCATATCAAGTTTTAACAGCTGTGGCCTCCAGTAACACAAACACTCTTGCTGTCGACCAACATTTAGCGATTTCAGTGTTAAAGAAGTCAGAGCGACCAGCTGTCTAACAACCCTCCTCACTTCATCCACTGACCCTCATGGGATGAACCTCCTGTCTGTGCAGCCCACACACAAAGCTGCTGCATCATATGTGACGGACGTGTCACTCAAATGGCTCCGTGTGTATTAAATCTCACCCGTGTTGTCGTTCCACGCAGCTTTGCTGAGGAAGAGGCCACAGCTGTCAAAACTTAAAAAAAAAAAAAAAAAAACATGATTCAAACAATTGTTTTCTCGTTTTCCATCTCTGCTCTGATTGTTTGTTAAGCAGCATAATGGTGGCTTTGTCCCAGCAATATGAAGTACTGTAAACTACAGCTGACCAGTCGATGCTATGCCAACCACAGCCAGCAAATGGATCACTCTCTGTTGAAGGATTATGGACATTTATAGTTCAGGGATTCTCTTGACAATATTTTGTAAAAATAGATGTATGTACTAAAGTGATGTGATGGACTTTGGTACACATTCTATCTTTTAAGATTACTAAAGGAGATGAGTGTCACTACAGTTTGCTGAGACATGTCAAAGATGGAATACTTTGAAAAAAAAGAACTTAGGTGCACTTAACTTTTTTATACTAAACTTAAAATTTAAAATGTAAGTTTAGAATAAAGGTTATTTTGGAAATTTGAAATGTTGTATGTTTGTCATTTCATTTTATCCTCATGATGTATTTTAATGGAACAGTTATTGTGATTTAGGTTGTATAGTTGTGGCCTGGCGGCTTCTCATGTAATTTCTAGTTTAATCCATTTACTTGATTGATCACTGAAAGTTTTTAGTCAGAAATGATTATCGACCACTTTAGTTTCAGTCACAGCTAATTGTCACTTTGATATATAAAAATAAAAAAAAGAAGGTACGAGTCAATAAAAACAGATCTGTGTTTACGGTAAAGTCAGCTACCGAACACTGACGTGATGAATCTCATCTTTAAGATCATTCATTTGTTTGGGGCACCAGCAGATTTTGATTCATATGTGCTGTATTTCTTTCAAGCTGTGGTTGTCTTCTGAAAACATTAAACTGAGCTGTCTTTTATTTTATCACCAAATCAGCTCTCAAACATGGCGTCAACAAAGACTGAACATAGTGGTGGGATTTTGTGTTGGGCTTTTGTATGAGATTATTACAGATATAAATCATTGTATGTGCTTGATGTTGTCATTTGAATTCTTGAGGGACTCGATTCTGACTTTTGAAGAAAACAAAACTGAAAGCTAACACCGGATGATGACACTATAGTCCAACGACAGGTTTTATTGCCTTCCATATTTATATCAAACAGGGAAGCCGACAGTAACAATGTCTGGAAAAGAATTATACAAAAAAAAAAAAAAGACAGCCAGGTAAAACATGCAACAAATAAAGTTTGCCGTCCTTTACGTCACATGAGGACTTTGTTTTTGACTTTAGCTTATAAAAAAGCTGCATAGAAAAACACTTAAAAAGCAAATCGATATAAAAGGTAACGACCCTCAAAGGCACCAGAATATTTTCCTATTTGTGTGGGAAAATGCAGTGTAACAGAATAAAACAACACAAAGAGCTGAGCAGTAAAACAATACCGAGTTATCAGAGGATAATTCATCTCTAACGGAATAAGAAACGTCCAATATAAATTGATGTAGTGCTCACAGTACGCATCATAGAAGCACAGCGGAGGTATAACACTGATCTACCTCAGATTTAATAATTTAAAATCACAACCTTCATTCAGGAGCAAAAAACATGTTTTGTAAAATAATGTGATAATGATCAATATTGACGATATGAAAACTTTTATCATGAGATTGTCACCCAGCCCAAACAACACACTTCACACACGGAAGAGAAGAACCGAAAAGACTTCTGCTGAAAAGTGTAACATACAAAGCTAATCTTACATTTCAACAGTTGCCGAGTGTTTACTGATCACGTGACTGTGACCGTAGACGTCTCAGAATCCCACCACCTGTTTCAAGCCCGGCTCGGCTGATCTGCACACGCCTGTCGTCTGTCACCTGCTCCACATCCGTCAACATTCACTCCTACAGTGATGTCATCTTTGGTTTCGCTTGTGCACCTGTGCATTTTTCTTTTTAAGCTATCATTTAAACAAGGTATTCCTCTTAATCAGTGTGCAGCAAGTAGCAGCCTTCCCTCAAAACACAGATACAACAAAAAAAAAAACATTCCTATTTCTTCTCAAGCCTTCATGAACTCTTTTTCCTTCCTAAGCTCCACTCACAGCCCGAGTCGTCCACCGCGCTCATATGAAGTATTCCTTCTTTTCACTCGCAGCCTGGTTACTGCACTCCTCGTCGGGGTCCTCTCCTGGAGCCAGCTCCCCTGTCGTCCTGTAGTCGCCTTTATTGTGGCAGAGGTATCGATACAGCAGGAAACCCAGAGCGGCGACCGTCAGCAGCATGAGAACAACGACCACTGGAAAAATAAGACGACATTTTAAAAGCCGGAATCAGAAGAGCGCATAACTCTGCCGAGGCCCCTTCTTACGAAACCACGTTAATAATTCATTCACTAGACCTGGAATTTTATTTGGATCTGCATCAAAATTCCACACACTCGTAAATATAAGTCCTCCACACATGATATTTGACAAGATCCATGAAACCGTCAATCAAAAAATTACATAAAATTTCATGAAAAATCTATTGAGTCGTTTTTACGTAATCCTGCCGACAAAACAAACGCCAGTGAAAACTTCATCATCTGACTTAGAGTTACTGCCTGAGGGCAACAGCCAAGATTTTGGGGCTGCCGGTGAAGACGCTGGATATCTGGGCCAAAAACGATGCCTCCCATTCACACTACAGTGTTTAAGTCCAACTAGTTTCTTCTACCACTCGAGTCGACATTAAACACAAGCAGTGATACTTCCATAGATGATTTAGGTCCAGACGACACTTTGGCTAATCTCCGTGTGAAAGCACATACAATTAAAAAGTGTCCCTCATCTGTAAATTCTGTTTCTGGAGATTAGTGACAACGTGGCGACCTTGGCGGAGTTAATAAAATATTAATATAAATAAAAAAAAAGGTTTAAGACAAACAACGATCCGTTACCTGCAATAACTGCAGAGTCTGAAGTTGCGGGGATCGCTGTCGTTACCACTGAGGAAAGTAAACAAACAGAGGTAGATCAGTTTTTAAACCACTGGTGACAGACACTGCACGGACGGACGGTCATGAAGAGACTTGTCTCACGTTAAGTGTCCAGGAGGAAACTGAATAGGAGGAAACATGAAAACAAAAAGATGAGGGAGTTACCCTGGATCACTGTGGTGCCTGCTTGTGTGGAAAGTGACGCAACAGGATCTGATGTCGGAGGGGAAAAAAGGAAACGATGATTAAGAGCATAAAATACTATGTAGTAACAGTCAAATACAAAGACAGTACTTTCATACCAGACAGTGCACTTACTCTCGGTCCCAGCTGTGCTCATGTATGTGGAGTCTGTCGTTAAAGGCGTCATATCTGAGCCTGGGAGATAAAGAGGCATGTTAAAAATGTCACAGGACGCCACTTGTATACAGAACTGGAGAGCTGCTGGCTGAGGGGGGGGGGGAATCAAGAGTTGTGACACAGTAAATCTGATTAATTAGGTCTGAAAATAAAAAAACAAAGCTGCTGTCAACCGAGAATGAAACCTCTGTGATGCAACGACTTAATCAGGAAACACAACGGTGGAAGTGAGAACTTCCATTTGAGTAAAAGCAACGTTTTATTGTAACTATTGTAAAAATAGTGTTCAAGTCTGGAAGTTAAAATACGAGGGAAACAGAAGAGCAACAGTGTGATCAACAACGATCTGTTAATTAGTCAGCTGACAGAGATGTAATCAGCGATTAGGCAGCAGACGCCTCATGTCGTCATCATCTTCGGCTCTATTAAATCACAATGGTCATTTTTCTGATGTTTGACGGACAAAATTATTAAAAAGAACCACAACCAACAGTTCTATTCATTATTGATTTATCCGTTCAAAGTTTGACTCAAGTAAAAAAAAAAAAAAAAAAGGTTCCACTTCTTTCCACAGTTTGAAAAAACATTGCATTACACTGATTGAGGTCAAAATCTCACTAAATCTAAATCTGATTTTCTTCCTGGGAGGCAAAGCTGTTGTTGAGCCTGTGTTTACTCACTGTGCGCCTTCATTATTATTCCCAGACACACAGGAACCAGCACTTTAGAGCTCACGTGACAATTCAATTCACCGTTTTGATTAACTTTTAATATTTCAAGGTTGTTTTTTTTTATTCCAGAGCAGATATCACCTGTGGCTGTGGGAAATGTGATGGGCCTTTTTTTATTACTTTCATTGGAAGTCACTGAATGAATGATTCAAATAAGTTAGAAATGCCACCTCACACTCGATGAGTAATAATTCTTTGCCCAAGGCTTTCTGAACAGTTACTGTGAATCTGCACAGTACAAACTGAAATTAACTACAAAAAGTAGACATAATTTTGGGGCTCGGGCTTCAGGGGACACTCAGGGACACTCAGGGCTTCAGGGGACACTCAGGGACACTTAGGGCTTCAGGGGACACTCAGGGCTTCAGGGGACACTCAGGGACACTCAGGGGTTTAGGGCCCAGCAGTTGTTGATCCAGTTTTACGAATCAAAAGTGTTTAACAGAACAACATGTGCCAGAAAAAAAAATACAAGCCACTAAATCAGCGCGGACAGTAAACGTGCACTTACTATTCATGGCTGCTGTTTGATCTGAGTGTCAACCTGTAAGAGACAAACACAACTGTAAAGAAAACCCGCACACGAAGACAAAGACAAAATCACTTTTCACTTGCTAATACTTTGTCTAAGGCTCCAGCGATTATCGGATTAATTGATGAGTTGATTGTGAATCCAACATTGAAAATCTGTGACATCTCAGATTCTAACTCTTTACAATTTGATGAGTGGACGTTTTCTTTGTCACATATGAGCGTAAACACATTTCTTAGGGGGGGAGGGGGAGGTTTGGACTTTTGATAGAATAAAACAAATCATTATAACACAACCCTTGAGGTAACAGGCTGAAGGTAATATCCACCACTAACCAATGGAAACCAAATCAAATCAGCAGATAAATAGATACTAATGATCATCGTTAGTTGCAAAGTTTTCCCCTAAACTTCAAGTTTTAATCCAACAAACTTTTTTGTTTTACGGTTTATTCTCACATTAACTGATGGAATCGTAAAGAGAAAGAATCTGTAGATATCTTAACTAAATAATGATTAAAAACTCGATTATCAGTGTAGCTCCTGAACAGGTTTCCCCCAAAATCGACTAAAGACTTAATTGAATAATCACTTTACTGCTCGCTCACCCACACACACACACACACACACACACACACACACACACACACACACACACACACAGAGTCAGGATTTCAACATCTGCCAACCGACGAACTCAAACAAAGCTTTCATATCAAACACGATAACGACGACATCAACTGATTAATCGAGGCCAAATCGAATCTGCAGATGAGTCGACAGATGTTTGTGTTGTTGACGCTTTGACGCGCGGATCTCCCTCTCTCCCTCCCTCCCTCCTTCGGGGAGTTTGACCTTTAAGAGACAGAAAAGTAAACTTCCTCCCCCTCGTGTTGTCCGAAACTTTTCCGCCCGAGCTGCTGCTGCTGCGGCGGCGACTCGAGCAGAAGCGGAGACAGTTTCCAGGTGAGGTCGCCATGATTCTCCGACACCGAACAAAAAGACACGCGGGCTCACCCCCACTCACCTGGACTCTCCGGAGCTGTGTCCCCCCGGGGGGCTGGGCGGCTCTGAGGCGGGGGAGAGAAGCGGGGCTCGCCGAGGGGTAGAACTGCGGAGGTCTGAGAAATAAAGTCAGCGCTGCTTCTCTCACCCTCCTCCCTTTCTCACCCTGCTCTCCGTTTCCGATCCCTCCCTTTCCTCCCCCATCGCCACCTCCAAGATCGTCTATGAGCGAGAGGTGTCACTGCTGGGCCGAGCTGCGGAGCTGCCTGTCTACACGGGCGGATTCACTTGTTAAAAGGGCCCCGGGGCAAAATATAGGCCCCCCAGCCCCCCCCCCACCCCACCCGTAAAGATGGACTAGATGACAGCTCGCCTAAAGCACAGCCAAAATATCTCAGTCGCCCCCTGGTGGCTGGCTGCAGTATAGGTCAATTGGTTTCATTTTCAATAAAGTTCATATCACTGATTTATTTATTCATGAACCCCACCTCCTCCATGTTAGCAGATGGGACTTGGACCAAATATAATATATATACACTTCTTCCTAATAATGTTTCTCTCATTTTAGGTTGTTCTGATCACACTGTTTATTAATTGTTACTTGATGCTATAAAAATGCTGAGGCTGACTCGTGATTGACAGCTCCAGTTCCACAGTCCGCAGTCTCTGACTCTAAATGTCTCCTAGTTAAGTCTGAAGCAAAATTGGTGTATTATCAAATTTAGCCAAATGATTCATCTTTTACAGTATTTCTTTTTTTGGGAATTCGGTCCAAAGAAACCATTTCACAAAAACGATGCCTGCAGCAGAAAGCCTCATTTCTAAAATGTCCCATTAATGCTGCTGAGCATCATGTAGATTACAGCTTCAAAAACTGTCCTTATCTCTTTATCATTTTAAACGTCCATAGGTTCAAGGAAGCGACCACATCTTGACAAAGTTCTAATCAAAAGGTTATTTTATTAAGTTTTGAGAACACATAGATTCACATATATCTTAACTTTAAATGTGCATAAAATAATAAAATAAACTGGATAATTGATGGATTCATATTTTGTGAGTAGAAAGAATCAAACGTCTAAGTCAAAACTTCTAACAATGTAAAACTAACAGTGCATTTATCTTTGAAATATTAGACAATATACTTTTATATGAAAATGTCATACAACAATTCTTTTAAGGGTAATTACAATAAAACCAATTGTATTCACAACTGATTTCAATAAAAGATAAATAAAAAAACTAACAGCAACAAGTTTCTGCTCAGAACATCCGTCGTGACACTAGTTGGACGTTTCAGTGCAGCTGTCTCCACATTTTTCCTCTTGTGCAGCTGTTGATTTAAGCCCCTCTGTGCTTTCCTGTTCAAGCAAAAACACATTTATGAAAAAAAAAAAACTCAGAAACAAAAGACAAACATATAATATGAAAGGCTGTTCACAGGAAAACACACAAACCTCATATCAAAGTGTGGAAACTTAAACCTCTGTGCTTTTGGGATCATGGGATGTCTGTGTATCTGCGGCAGCGCCCTGGATACAACACAGAAAATGGAAAACAGGAGCGTCATGACACAAAAGAATGGTAAATTCATAAAAGCCTGCAGCGCCAGGCAGCTGTGTGCTAATCAGGTGACAAACCTTGGGAGGAAAGCTCAGGTCCTTAGTGTCGGAGTCGAGCCCAGAAACGTCACCGTTCTCCAGTCCATTTGATTTCAGAGTGTTGAGGTTCACCGGGCTGTCTTCTCTTTCTTCAATGTGCAGCGGGCCGTTGTCAGCAGCCGACAGCTGCAGCTCCAGGCTCTCAGAATCACAAGAGTTGTTCAGTTCTGAGCTGCTGTCACTCGCTGGAGCTTCCTCACCATCTCCTTTACCATCAGATTCTGCAGGAGGCTCCAGCTCAGACACGGTTTCTTTCTCACCCTTCTCCTCTTGCACTCGACTGCTGTCTTCTCCTGACTTCTGCTCGTTTGGAGGAGAAGTCTGGCTCTCACCGTGGCTTATTTCAGCGTCCAGGTCCCCGGACTCAGCGGTGGGGCTTTCCAGTGATGGCAGTTGTGGGTTGACAGTGAGGGTGCTGCTCTCCCTGGACAGGATGCTGCCCTCTCTGGTCAAAGTGCTGCGGCGAGGTTTGTCTGGGGACCTGAGATTAAACATCTGCCCAGGTTTAGGAGTGTAGCTCTTGTGAAACTCAGAAAAACTGGCTTTCCAGGCCCTCGGGGACATCAGGGTTCGTCTCCTCAGGGAGCCGTAGCTGCAACATTTAGCAGTATAATATCAGAATAAAGGATATTCTATACTCAAATATAAATCAACTTGTTTGTCTTTCATCTAAAAGTTTATCAGTTGGTCAGAAGAGTCGGTGATATGGATTCTAAAGAAATCAGGTCATTGTCAATTCAAAGAAAATACAGGAAATGTTGGAGCTTTGACTGATTAGCCACAAAACATCTGGATCACTGACATTTAATCACTTTTGGAAAAGGCTGAGAAAAGGTGTTGGGGGATAATTTACAGTGTTAAGTACATTTGTGCTTAAACTGTCATGAGTACATTACGTAGTTTCGTGTAAATTGATTTTCCTTTGATTACTTCAAAATTCTTAACATTCATCATACCGCTGCACCCCCTTCACAGCGAACACTTTGTCTGGATGCTGAGCCTGCAGCTCCCTTAACACATTCTGCAGATCAATGTTGAGCTGAGAGAAGAGAAGAGACACATAAAGTCAAAAACTGACTTTACATCAATAAATATCATGTGTAAACCCAGTGCGGCTGCTCAACCAACCAACCCAACGCACCATGCTCATTTCCTTATAGAAGATGTCTCGTAAATTTGACACGGCCGAGAAGACAGCCACGTAGCATCCAATGCGGCTAAAGGAGAAAAACATTGACAGGTGATGTGAAAAATACTCGTGAATCCACACAAATCAAAAGGTTAGCAAAAAAATATTCCATCAGACCTGTCATAGATTACAGGCAGCTCTTCTTTTAGCTCATTGTTGAAGCCTTCGTAGACACTTCTGGCATAATTCATCTCCTCCTCTGCCTGCAGAATGAGAAGCTGCATCTTATATCATACATTTTTTAACAGGTCGAGGTTGAAATACACTGTTTCTCATTCTGTACAACCTTGTTTATCTTGACGTCATCCTTCTTCTTTGCAGACTGCAGTGCCTCCAGGTGGTGACGGGCAGAGTCGTAGTCGACCAGTTTTCTTCCCCTCTTCGCAACTTTCTCCTGCAGGCCGAAAAACACAGACGATCCAGATGTGATGTGTGTGTGTGTGTGTGTTTGTACACGTCCTCTGTGTGGACTACTCTGTTGGTTTTTGTGTGGTTACTCTCAACACTACAGTGTGTCTGTGTATTTAATTATGTTTGCTTTGCCTCCTCAGTTCCTCTTGCCTTACCTTGACATCTGGGAACTGGCTCACGTAGGACTCCATGGTGCGGACGGCCTGGTCCAACAGCTTCACCTCGTAGTCGTTCCACAGGAGATCCTCCCCCTTATTAAAAGACAAATCGTAAATATTGCATTAAATATGTATGAAGCAGGAGGGTGGATGGGAGGTTTTGATCCTGTGTGCACGTATGAATCCCTTTTGTTCTCACGGTGAGAGTCTGTGTTATCTGACCTCTACAATGGCTCCCAATTCTTCCTCTCCGACCCAGTCGTTTTCATAGGCATCAAACAGAGACTGGGAAAGACGCCTCGATGCTTCGCGCATGTCTGTAAGACGCAGATTAGTTTAAATAAGATGCTGGGGGAGGCGCAAATTTAAAAATCTGCAAGAAAAGCAACAGGGTTTGACCTCTGACTGCGTTTATGTAGGTCCTCAGGTCTTTGTGTATCCGGTTCCCATCAGTCTGTGAATAGAAAAGAGTTTGTCTTTAGATTCTTTACTTTTACAATGTTGACTAAAGGATGATAAATCACCCCTGTGGTTACAGTCAAACATGTTGAGACAGCAGTTGTTCCAACCTGTAAATCTTATTTGTTAAGCAGGAGGGATGATTACCTGCTGGTCACTAAACATATGCTGATAATTTTCAAATTGGTCATCTTTGGTCTCTTCAGTCTTTCCCAGCTTTTGTAGAACCTGCAGAAAAAAAAGCACGAGTCACAGATCACAGATCAGTTAACAGTTAAAATGAGTTAAAAAACTGTTTCTCTTCTTCTGCTCTCGGACTGTGTCACCTTCTCTTTGCCTCTGCTCAGCCGTCTCTGGACTTTCTTAGCAAAGTCCCCAGAGTTTCCTTTCGGACTCGTGCTGTCTGCCATGTTTTGTCCTGACTGCCTTGATTCCTGATGATGACAGGAGGCAGAGAACTCAGGAAACATTACAACTCACCTGTGACACCAGAATTTACGGATCGAATACAGATTTACATTTCAACGTTGGGGCATTTGATTATCGTAACAAAATGAAGGTGAAATATTACTCACATCCCTATAAATAAAACCACTTTAATATAACATTCTGTATTCCTCTCAATATAAATCAATTTATATTTCATAGTATTGAATTATGGCCGTATGTTGTGTGTATTATATTACATATAATATTGTCTCCCTTCAATTCAATTTCCAAAATTGTCCAACCAACTGAGGGTGACCAGGTTTTTGCCATCATGAAGGAAGCCTTTAATGCCCTTAATTGGTTTTAATGGATGTTTTCTGTCTTGCTTTGCTCTGTGTTGTTTTGTTCCCATGTGCTTTGTAAAGCGATGTGTAACCTTAATAAGAGCTATCAAAATAAAGTTGTATTATTATTTCTTTACCATTATGTACGTCCATAGATGGTGTTACTATTGGATTTCTGGATTTCCCTCACAAAAACATTTGTATAATTATTTGATATAATCCAACGTATCATGTATAATATACGTATATTATATTCCTTTATATATCTAGTTTTACCAAAGCGTTCAGAATCATTTAGAGAAGTAAAAATAACGAAATATAATTATGATAATATAATATGAAGTGCTAGTGTGTTACAGGTGACACCTCCTATTAGTATTCAACAGTAATTATAATCTAATTATGATAGAAACACTTTAATGTGTTTTTAAACTTCTCAAAACAGTTTTTAAACCAGGATTTTACTTCCACTGAGGTCATCATTAATATTTACTCAGCCAACGATTGGGAATAAAATACAATACATTATAATAATATATGAGTACTACAGAATATGTATTTGCACTCAGACCCAAGGAGACTCTCCCTGCTCGTCTCTCTGCAGACTACAACACCCAGAGTTCCCTGCGGCGAGGCCCCTCCCAGCAGCAGTAATGGCAGCTGTGAACTTTACCCGGACTCTTCTCTTTATTTCTCTGGCTGTCGGAGGAGGAGTGGTCTAATGACACACCGGCAGTTCTCTGTGCTGCTGGCCGAGCTGCAGGAGCTGATCATGGGCAGCACTCTGATGAAGTGTGCGCTGACGGACCTGGGCATCCAGTGGACCGGCTGGGCTCTGGCTGCAGCTTTTAAGACCGAGAAGTTTTATGACCTGGCAGGTAAAACACGACGAGGATCCCCCCCCCCCCCAACCTTTGGTAATGTTGACGTGAAGCCATGTGCTGAGATTGTTATTCACCTGGAATCATTGATGTAAACTCGAATCAGAGCCTGCAGGTGAGTGGAGCATGGTCCAGATGTGGGGGGGAGGGGGGGTGAAGCAGATGTTTAAAAGGAAAAAGTTTGCTTTGACCTCGGACTGTTGATTCATCATCGTTACAAAAGCAGAGTTATCTAAGGCAGGTTTGTTGTGAAACAGCCTCAGAGCTCCTCCTTCAGCTTAAGATCCAGTCAGCTTAACTTAATGACAGCAGGGCTGTACACAGCAACCCTGGGGCCCTGCCTGTGAACCACAGAGGGGGCTAATTCTGTCGGCCCCAATCGTGAACTCGTATACCACCACTGAGAAAGTCATAATGTAATTCCGTTGCAGCCTGATCTCGCTTGTGCGTTGGGGAAAACAATTTTAAACTTTTATTATCTTACATTTTCCAGTGGAATTTACTAAAACATCGTCCCAGCTTCTTATTCTTGATTTTTTTCGTTACGGAGCGTTCACTTTAATATTTCCCTCCATTTGTGGCTCCTTCAAATGACGAATCAACTATTTGAGCTGATACTTGTCAGATTAACTGATAGTGAGAAACTAAATTATTGTGAGTCTCAGCCCTTGTGTCCTCGCTGTGGAACCTCTTAGCTCGTGAGTTTTAATCAGGTCACAGACGTACATGGCGATTTGGACACAACCAATGAGGAAGGAAAAGATTTTTTTAAATGAAGGTGCCACTTGAGTAAAATGCAGTCATTCATCATAATCATTTCAACAGCGTGGCTTACCTGTCGACACCAATGACTGAATTCTTTCTAATTTCCCAAATGAATCACCCTGACACTCGTCCTCTGGCGCTCCACTCCTCCGCTCTGTGCTCCTGGTTTTTCTTACCCTTGAACTTTGGAACCAATTGTCTGCAGTATTCCGGGTAAAAGATTTATTGAACACGCCTTACTCTGTGACAAGCAGAGGTGTCTGCCATGCCCATGTCCTAACTGGCCCGAGTTGTCTTTTTCTTTTTTTGCAGGCTCTGGGACATTTATACTCCTTGCCCACCTGAGTCGTATCTGGGGCGGAGCCACTCACGTCCGTCAGAAGGTGCAGACTGGGCTGGTGACGGCGTGGGGACTCAGGTAGGCAAAGCGGCGTGGACCCCAGTGTTGAATGCAGCGACACCCCCTGCACGCTTCAATAAAACTGCAACGGAGGCATGAGATTTAATCCTGGTGCAGTAAAACGGTTTGTGTGTGAGCTCAGTCACAGAGGGTCCTTGGCAAGGTCAGAGGAGGGACTGAAGAATGAGAAACTCTAAAATCAGGTTAATGAATAATGGCTCGGTTAATGTGAACGGATGTTAACCATGTTCCTCCTGCAGACTGGGGACATTCCTCTTCATGCGGATCTTGAAGGACGGTCACGATCGCAGATTCAACAATGTCAGAGACAGCCCAGGGACTTTCTTTGTATACTGGACTATTCAAGGTACCTGGAAGTGATGTAAAAAAAAAAAATCTTCCTCTCATTTCCATTGTCCTTGACCATCTCCGCAGCCTGAAGGCCGGTGTGCCTTGTATAAATCACTGTCCAGTTTCTCTTTCTAAATGCATTTATTCCAGGTAGGAGCTGGTGGTTACAGTAAGGGTACATCCATACTTCTGCATTTTCATTTGAAAACACGTCAACTCTGCTGCAGATTCAGGGAAAATTAAACAAAATGGTAGTCGTGTGGATGCAGCCTGAGTTTAATGTATCACGTTAATGGGAGAATTAAGAACAGCCTGCTCCTGGTTGATGATTCACCTGTTCCTGTTTCAGCCGCGTGGGTATTTATGACCCTCCTGCCCACCCTCATGCTGAACAGTGAGAAGCGAGACGTGCCTCTGGGAACACGTGACTACATCGGCTGGGCGATTTGGGGCCTCGGCTTCGCTGCTGAGGCTGTTGCTGACCAGCAGAAATGGCTTTTTAAGAGCGACCCGGATAATGCAGTAAGTTTAAAGACCTCACGACGTGCAGCTCTAAACTGCTGAGATGTCTCATCCACTGAGTGACGACTGTTCTGTCTCCAGGGGAAGTTCATCCAGAGCGGACTGTGGGCCTACACCAGACACCCAAACTATTTTGGAGAGATCCTGCAGTGGTCGGGTCTGTGGCTCTCAGCCTCGTCGGTGATGCAGGGTCCGCAGTACCTGAGTGTGGCGTCGCCTCTCTTCGTCTGGTTCCTGCTTCGTCACGTCAGCGGTATCCCCATCCTGGAGAAGCAGGCCCTAAGGAAGTGGGGATCTGACCCAGCCTTCATGAACTACATCAAGAACACACCTCTCCTCTGGCCGTGGCCTAAATTTTGATGTAGATGTCAATCGTTGCCTCACACACACACACATACTTATACACACTCTTCTTACAACGCAACTCAACAAAACTAGTATTTTTGAATTGAGTGTGTTGTGATGTATTTGTGTCACTTTATAGTTATTGTGTAAAATAAATCTGCTATAAATGAGTCTTTCCATAATTAAATTCTGTGGTGTCACTTTCATCATCTTTTATTGTCGGCTTTTAATCCCTGAAATTTACAAGTTAAGCATCTTTAAAAGAAAAGTGTAGTTGTTTGTGACAGTTGTTAGAATCACACCTTGTAAGTCGAAGTGTGAGTGGGTCTTAAAAAGGCTTCTTTGTTAGTTTCACACCTTCACAACCTGAGAGCACGGAAGGTCTGAAACACCCACAGTGTGAATGAATGAGGTCATATTGTTATTGTAAGTGTTGACTCCGACATCCAAGACCCCGTTCAGACGTAGAATTAACATCCACCCTGAGGTCCTCAGATAAGAGAATCCAGAAATACAGTATATGCAGTGGGAGAATATGTGCAGTGAATAGATTGCACATGAACCGAGACTGAAGAATGAGACTTAGTGTTTAAGTGCAGCCCCTAATAAATGTGGTGAATGTAGTTTTCACCAGCTGGTTGTATAGTTGAGCTGGTTGTATAGTGTTACTCACTCGGAGCTGATCTGGAACACATCCTTTTCACCTAGTGAATGCGAATGCCTCCTGGGCTACGTGCTGACGTCTCTGACCCACTAGTTTGTTACACGTCTCAGTGACCAGACACTGATTTCTTTGTGCTCGTTGCCACAGTATGAAAACTGACCAGCACATTTCTATTTTCTTCATAGATCTACACACAGCAGCAATTGATTCAGTCATCCGACACATCTGTGATAGAACATGTTTGGTCTGTTTGAGGGCCGATGACGTTCATGATTATTTGCATACAGAGCAGGGAAGTGAGATCGGATCATGAGTCGTCACAGGAGACATTCAGAGCTCCTTCCAATGCCAGAGGTTAACACTTGTGATCAGATCTCTCAGGACAGATGTTTATACCAGGTCTTCAACATGAGGAGAAACTTCTACAAGAATCTCAAGATCTAGTTTCCTTTGACATCGTACCTCTACATGAACAATTGAGCTATTTTAAGTTTATATATCACAAACATGCTGTGATGAGCTTCACACTTCAGGACCTGTACGTTTGTTTGGAGCCTCTGAATCTGCTGCTAACTCAGGGCAGCACGACTCAGAGGGTTTGGAAACAACACAGAGAATTCGACAGAAAGACCAGTAGACATTTGTGGAAACGTTATAAATGTATTTTATAAGTGAACATACATTTTAAAGAGTCTATTTGAGTACAAAATCTGTGCTGATGGTTAATCATATAATGCCACAGTAACTAAACTGGCTAATCTTACAAAGTAATTGCCTTTTACACTGAATAGTTCATTAGAAACCTCCCAAGGTACAAACACTGAACAGAGCTTTAAATATAGAAGGAGCTAAAGGATCTGACAGAGTTTACAGTGTGAGACATAAACAAGTGAACAACGTTCCTGATGTTCACCCGCAGCGCAAGAGACACTGTAAAACTGAATGACAGCAACTTCTTTTAGTTTCTCCCCTAGTGAAGAGAACAACGACAGCATGCTCGGAGAAACTTGGAAATTACGAGCGAGATATTCCCACTGAGCTCTTGTAGGTAGTGTTTGTACTTAAATTATGAACACGAGCAGTACAAATTACTGGGGGAGGGGGGTGGAGACAACTTAAACTGGATGGAAACAGAAATGAAAATACAAACATCAAAATGAAAAGATAATGTTACAAAGCAGTCATACATTCAATTACAAACCTAGAATGAAATGCCTACAAATGAGCTCTTCAACCTCTGAGTGACACATGAGCCGAAGAGCTCAAGAGAAATGATTTAGGTTTAGATGCACGCCACAACAAAACTGCACATACAGTACACATCTATGAGCACACCTCTTAAAAAGAGCAAATATATATATATATAGTACATTCACATGCGTTAAGATGGGACATGAGAAAGTCTCCTTAAACATTTTGCCAAAGCATTCTCTAAAGTCACAAGTGTGCATAGATAGGAAAATCTACTATTTGGTAAAAAAAAAAAAATCAATTTACAAACATGTAAAATCATCAGATTACAGCTCTTAACATTGTGAAACATTAAAAATGATTATGAGTTTAAAGAGGAAGACTAATATGGAGGCATTAATTATAGCTGTTAATAAAGCAGTACCTGGCTATGAGTTACTCATCAATGCTGTATGAATGAAGGTTTTACGTAGCTGCTCTATTTGAGGAGCGGCGATGCAAAGAACTTTCCTTGGCGACCGAAGCCAACTGCTGATTTGCTCTTGCTCCCAAATCTGCAACGAGGAGAGCACATTTCAACAGTTGATGAAATATGAGATATTGAGATATACAAGATATTGTTTTGACTCTAGTGTTTGTATGAGTTTAAAAGAACAATATATTTACAGAGCATAGTTTGAATATGACTCATGACATCACGTCCACTACTACTGACGTTATTCTGACAGTTAAAAAAAAAAACTTTGGGTGTTTTCTCTTTATCTTTCCATCGTGTTTACACCCTTGTCATGAATCCACGAGCAGTTGGTAACTGTCGTATGTACTATGATTGAGACGTATACATGACGACATAATGCGACTAAGGTCAGATCACCCCCCCTCTTAATTCATTTATTGTTTATTTTGAGCTTGACCCTATTCAGTTTGAGATGATCAGAAAATACTGTTTGGATGGCAGTGTCTTATTCAGATTGTGAATATCATAATATTAGTAGTCGGTGAATGACATGAGAATTGGTACAGTAGAATAACTTATTTGAAAGATGCTCAAAGAAATCTGCTTCTGCCTGCATTTGAAAGGATGTACTTTAGAGCTTTACTAAATATTTAAATCAGCAGTACATGGCAGTAACTCTTGAGCCAGTTAATCATTAGTTCATTGATTGAAGCTGAGCAGGAGGAGACGCTGCTGCTGTGTTTACCTGGGAGTCAGGGAGGACTTCATGCGCTGAGACAAGGAGCTGGAGGAGGGGGTTTTATTGAGCTGGTGCTCTGGCGTGGTCAGAGGTCCCAGCATGCTCACTGCAACAGCAAATACATCAGGATGAGATGACAGCCACTAAATAACAGCGCCCACGCTCGCACAGACGCTGAAGAACAACACACAGTGGTTTACCTCTCTCGGGGGTGGCGTAGCAGTTTGCATTCTCGATGATCAGGTGGTCCAAGTTTGGCTGCTCGTTTTCCGCCATCACAAAGGTGGCCCAGTAATCCACCGGCAGAGACAACAGGCGCTCCACCACCTGAGCGGGAAGGGATGAGTGGAAATGCAGAAAGAGCGTTATTTCAGTGTGTTGCCTCATCCTCTTTCAACAGTGCATCACTGGTTAGGAAGATGACTTGTGCAAGCGGAGAGCAATTATATATAAAAAAGAAAAGCAGTGTTTTCTCTGAGTGTTATAATTACATTAACAGATTTTTGTGGGAGTTCAGTCTCAATCTAAATGTTTCTAATACTTACTGTGATCCCGAATCATTGAGTTTAAATATTAAAACGATCTATTTTGAGACCTGTCGTGATAAACTTGTGGAATAAAAGATAATTAAATATTATTTCTTAGATTGTCAGGTTATGATACATCTCTATTAGTTTGAATTGTTGGTGACAGATTCAGTCGTGTCTGTGCTGGATGCAGATTGACTCTGCAAACACAAGGTACTCAGGAAACTGAAGTTGAATGCTATCTAGTGTTAGTGCTTGAAATCTAATCTCACATCAGCCTCCCTGTTTACATTAGTTTATTCAAATAAAAAAACAAAACACTGGCTTTTATTGTGGTGAAAGAGACAAAAGAAATACATCAGAAACACGGCAGCTGGCCCTTATTTTAATATGGTCATTACACACAGCAAAGCTATTTGCATTATAGTGAGTGCTAGCCTCTATAAAGTCCTGCGCAGTGTTTGCTGTGCTTGGGGCTGTAGGTTTTAAAAACAAACAGGAGTCCCAACCTGCCCAGCAGCTGGATTGTTTTGTTACATCATTGTCTCTCATGTACAGTGTGACGTTATTCATTTGTGCTTCTCGTTGTGTCTGGAGCCACTTTTAATGGACTTTACAACGACAAAGAGAACATGAACAAACTTAGAGAAGCCAACCAAGCATTGGTTTAGGTCTGAGACGCTGCTTGAGCAAGAGGCAGTGACTATCCTATTTATAACCTTTAGAATTGTCTATATATTATATTGTACGAGTAACATCTGAAGAAACACAACACACGGTACGTGAGACACACCACATTGTTGCGACCTACCCTTGGCTGACGTTTCGTATCCTGAAGGATTGTCATAGGATCTGGATTGGAAACTGCATGACCCACGATAGTTGGTCCGAAAACTCGAGCCAGGTTACTGACGTCCATCTTAGTGTCCAAACTGTCAGCAACTCTGAAAGATGTTATTACAAACAAATGTTTGTTATATGAAATCAAATGGCCTCAATGACTTAAGGTTAATGCAGATACATTCATTTCCAGGAAAAAAAAAGAGACTAGAGCACCATATGAATCTGTAAATCCAAACGCCCGTGCTTGGCGTGTTCTGCTGCTAGAAATTCATAGATTTGTTCAGAGTGTTTTCTTATGTTAGAGGAGAGAAGCTGCCAACCTCTGAAGGTGAAGGGCTAAGAAAGCCAGCGTGTCTCTGTTGGGCTTTGGCAGGTCACTAATGGTTTGGTACATCAGGGTGATGCTGTTGTCGTCATCTGAAACCTCTGAGGAAGAACAAAGACAACTATTTTGTCAGCAGAGGACAAGAAACTGGAGGTTGTGGATTCAACAACATGCAATTTGTTCTGAACAAAGTAGAAACAATTATGAAACCTGAATTTAATGGGTCTGCTGGGTACAGTTCTGTCGTCCGTTCACAAGTTACACAAAGCTGCAGTTATTTATAAAAGCTTTTAATTAGCGCACCAGTGCTTTTTTTCTGGAGGAGCCTGCGATGCTGGTGGTTTTACCAACACCAGCATCTTTTTCTAAAACACACACACACACACACACACACACACACATACCAGCTGCCTCCATGAAGGTATGGTTCAAACGGAAAGTGAGCAGAGGCTCCTTCAGGTTCCTCAGGAAGTCCTTGAGGAGGCCGGTGACGGCGTGGATGTCGTCCACCTTGCTCAGCACGGGAACAGTTTTGCTGCGGAGAAACTTCTCCTTCAGCTCCTTCACTGTGCGATCAGCCCCGGACAGACGATACAGTCCAGCCTGAGAGGGAAGAAATATGAACATTTACATTTTGAACTTAACCCTGAACTATGGCTACAACTAATGATGATGCAAAAATCAGGATCAATCCGCTGGTTAATATTAAATCTGAAAAAATACCAGTGATGGCGTTCCACAGTCCAAGGTTATTCTATTCTATCACGACTCAAGAGGCTACAGATATTCAGTTTATTATTATTATGATTCCGAACAAAAAACGTAAAGTGCACATGTTGTATTGGTCTTCTGGTTTTTTTTATCATCTTATAAAACTGTGGCCCCAAAAATAACTTTGATTATCAAAAGAGATGAGAAAAAGCTTTGAATCCTCAAGTTTTTCTAAGACTGATTCGTTTCCACAATCAATTCGATGATTTGTCAGTGAAGCTTCAGTCTAATGAGCACATCACTTAATGGTGCAAACCATATTTGTAAGTCAACATTTGTCAACACCATTATCATGGTTAAGAGCCGCTGAAATAAAGGATATCTTTTACAAAAGCAACAGAACAAACGGTTTCTTAATTTGTTTAAGATGAGAAAACTGGAGGAAACCTTTCAAGACCGTCGCAGAAAAAAATGAATGCTACAGGGTGAAAGTGAGAAATTAGGACGCGGGGAAAACATAAAACATCAGACAGACGAGACGAGCGGCACAACAGCTCAACAGATTTGGAGGCTTTCCACAGCCCAATTACAAATTTAATCTCCCAGGAACAGATTGTAAAATCTTAGTCACAGCTCTGTCTCCGTTTATTGGGACCACATTAAAAATAACGACTGGGGTGTGAAGCATCGCCGTCCTTCAGACTTCTGCGTGTTACTGAGACACGAAAACGCCACTAACCTCATGCAGGCCTCTTTGCTCTATCTCACTGACACAGTGGACCACGAGAGGAGGAATCTTGGGCGATGTGTTGGGGACGTAGTCTGCAAGCACGCCCTGGGAATGGATGAGAAATGCGTTGGAACTTTCACACGTGTGTGCACATCAAGAGAGAACTAAGCACTAAAAAAAAGTTCTCACACACCTCTCCAATTTTGACCGGTGTGCCAGCCAGAGTGGGGATGCATGGCAGAGGGCAACGCTGGCGACACTCGGGGTGCGAGACGACCCTGCAGTCGCGGCACTTCAGTGAAATCTTGCCAAACTTGATCCTCTTTCCACACGGCACGCAGGACTCGGGCTTAATGACCTAAGACAGGGAATTAAGAGGCTGGTAAAGATTGTCGGTCGCCAGCGTAAACACGTTCAGACAAACCCATAAATAACGCCTCCTTTTTTTAAGCACTGCATAAACAGAGCTGCACACATTAGGACCGGCAGCAGTTTGAAATCGTTAAATACTGGTGCCAGAGCTGCTCTGTGGAGACAACAGCAGATATAATTTAGCAAACAAACCATCATTTAAAATTCTGGAAATGGATGATTGACAAACACATTAAATCCGCTGCCAGGGTTGATCCAACTCATTGGCAGAACTTTCATTAAACCCTAAAAGTCAGATTCATTCACTCTGCAGTTTTCTCACACTCTTGGCATTCTTACAGTTTTGGAGACAAACTCGTGATGACGGACACCTCCGCTGTTCTGAGGAGTGCTGGGAGCGTGTCTTTGCTCTCCCTCAGGGATGCTCGGCTGTTTGAAGACATCCTCAGATGTGACAGATTCAGAGTCCCACTCCATGGCAGCTGAACAGGAGGGATGGCAGAACAATACCCGAGTTACATTCCACAACCAGTCTGCAGTTAAGTCGAATCATTGCTTCTGAATATTCAGACATGTGAAAATAATTCACAAATAATAGACAAGTGAGCAGAGTCTCTTCTGACTGAATTCACTTTTGGTTTAATTCTGGCTACAGGACGAGTCCTGATAACAGTTACCTTGATTTGGTGAATGATAATTTGACGTGAGCTTAAACTGTTCATTACAAAATAGCTTCAAAATATATCACAATGCCTTTACTTAAAAATAAAATCATGCTTTCATCTAAGATTATAAAAAAATTTAGTGCAAGAATTTCAAAATATGATTTAAGTTTAAAAAAGTGAAAGAGAGTGAAATCTCTTGGACCGCAATAGATTTTTCTCTTACGTCTCAAGAACAGAGTTGGATTGATGAGAATAAATAAGATAATTTTAACAGACTTACATTAGTTTGCTTATGTATGTATGCATCATAATAAATATCTTACCAGTCTTTCTCCTGCTGCGAGTCCAGTAAGGAACAGTTTCAATAGTAGAAATTGCCTCAACAGGTCCTCCGTCTATAGGGACAGTCACTGTGGTCTTTGTTACCAGAGTCTCATTTGCCTGTCACAAATAAAATGCGTAATAATATAAACTGTAAAAATAACCACATGCACCATGTTATCTGTGTTGAGGCCACACGTGCATTTCAAGAGCTGGTTGCAACAACCAATTAGCTTTTAGTGTTGAGCATTTGCCATTTTTTTAACTCTGTAGACATTTAAGTGCTTGTTTCATGTGTAATAGCTTCACATATCTTCTGAGTCATAAAAAAATAATGATATCCAGAGTGGAGGAATAAACTCTACCCTCTCTGAAGTTCTGCCTGTTGATCGAGACCTTTTGGAGGCAATTGGAGGACCATCCACACGGTTTCTCGAAGAGCGCTGAAATAAAAGTAGCAGACATGACATCATTACTCTATCAGTGAACAGGAAGTCATGCTTCCTGAATCCTGAATTTAAAAAAAGGTTCACAGGTATTTAACTTACCCTTTTTTCTCGTTTCTTAAGACGAACCGTCTTCACGGTGGAGGAGTCCCAGTCCTGTCACAAATCAAGCACAACCGAATCAGACTTCAGAATAACAGGAGGTTATTCTACTGAACATCAGTTACTTTAAGTGTAAATGATGCTGAAAAGAAAAGTACTTACAAGAGAATCATCTGTCTTGTCATAGCTGATATCTGACAAGATAGAGGCGGACTCGTCTATTGTCTTCAGTCTATAAGAAGAAACAGAATATGTGTTCAGCAGTGATTCCCATATTTAGTTTTTTTATTTATTGGCCACCACACAAACATTTATTGCAAATTGTTTTACATACAACTACATTCTCTAATAATACTTGAACAGAAATGCAGCTGAAAGACGAGAGTGATAAGAGAAGACTAGAGAAGAGTCTCAGACTTCAGCATTCATGTGATAGATGGATGAGATGATAAGAGATGAGAGAAACAACTTTCCCACATCGAAGTAGGTTTGTGAATACAACCTTGTGCTGCCTCAGTCTCTTGCGTGTCAGATGTTGTCACACGCAAACGAACCCCCCCACAGGGTAAACCAAGGGGAATACTGGACTCTATATCTGTCTTAATTTGCTGAAACACCACTGATGCTGCACTTTGATGAAATAACACAGACGCTCTTAATAGCCAGAAACAGGAACTGAATGCTGTGGGAACTATTACATTAGCTATGGCTTCATTCAGGAGCCACATCCTTCCGAATCACGTCAAGAGCGGCACGACTGTACTTTTCCAGTTCTCTTTCAAAATCAGCTAACAAAAGTGTCCTTCCCTCCCAGAGCAACTCAGGCTCCAATAGGGGGATCCTTCTCAGGCCAACCTATTCCAGGATCAACGGCGTTGGCGAGCAACAAGATAAAAGGTGTCCGATACTTCAAATTTTAGATGCAACATTATAAAGTTCTCACAACTGCAGCTGTGTTGCTAAACGACTGTGGTATGGGTCGAACAAGCTGGTGACGCAAATCTAGCAAATCCTTTTTCTCATTTCGGTTCAGCTGTCGTGGTCTACACAGCCCACAGAGGAGGCGTCCCCTGTATTGGGACACAGCTGCTCTATATCGGTGATTTCTCACCTTCGGCTGGTGTTCAGAGTGGCTGCTGCCTGAGAGTTGGTGTTCAGGAAGGCCAGAGCTGAGCGCTGCTCTGCACTCAGCTGGATGCTGTTGCTGGATCCTTCGCTGGTCAGCAGGTCACGAATCAACAGAATTTGACGGTCCTGTACAAGCAGTGCACATGCATAAGAAACTACGCGAACCAGGTAAACGAACATATCACCAAACAGAGGTTGCCATTTCCCTCAACATACCAACTTCTCGCAATCAGCCTCAGCCTTCTGTCTGCGCCGGATCTCCACATCGACTTGGTTGCGGGCATGTTTCAGTTTGACCTCCAGGGATCCCCTCTCCGTTTCTGTTTTGGTGAGAATCTCTTTGCAAGACCCCAGATCCTGCTCTGCCCGCAGCCATTTGCGTCGGCAGTCATCAAAGTTTTGTGCCATCTGAATGAAGTCTGGGGGGAAAAAATGATGCACATGGAAAAGTGTTGGTGAACTGTCGCAGTTGTGTCAAATGACTGACAGTAAAGATAAAACACAGACCACTTACTGGGTTCAATGTTATCATTGAGGAGATCAACTTGCGTCCTCAGGTTATCGTATAAGCTTTGGAGGCTCATCACAGCTGACTCCATGATGTCCTATAAATCAGGACCCTTGAAACAGATGGATTGTAAGATAAATACATTTAAATTCGGCAAGTCACGTTCATATTCTTATACATCCTGCAATACTTTCAGTAAGGCGTCTGATGGGTTCAAAATGTATTCTGCAGCATGAGAATGACCCAAAACAGTCATATATATATTCAGCAACCAAAAGAACAAGGAGTCGTGTGCAACAGAACAACAAGAACCCATATTAATAATAACGAAAAGGATAATAAGAATTATAAGAACAAAGAATGTAAAGTAATGAATATATTTTTGGATCATATGAACGGGCAGAGAACATGAAATCTAACTTAGCTGTGCAACATGTTTGAAATACAAGGAGTGATTTGATTAATACTATTTACTGACCTTTCTGCACAACATGAAATTCAATCAACAGATGAACAAAACGTGAGCAGTGTTCAAACTTTTCAAACTCAAACGTTAGGACGTTTTAATGGCAAATAAATCAACAAATCTAAGTAAACAAAAGCTCCGCTACACCAACATGTCTATTTATAATTAGTTCAAGTTAAAATCTTTTGTTTCTGCCCTGAAGCTCCAGGAAACACGTTCATTCACTGATCCGCAGGAAAACAATGCTGCGGTTGTTAGCATCCGCTGCTGCCGTTGACTTCGGTGCCCGTTAGCCCGCGTTAGCAAACATTACCCGGGATTAAACCACTCACCGTGTCCGCTGTGGAGAGACCCCGGGGAGCGAGGACCGCGTCTGTTGTGTGGATGAAGAAGTTTCCACCGTTTCTTTTTCTTTTTTTTTTTAAGACACGAACTGAATCTTCGTCCTTCGTTCCGCCGCCGCTTCCTTCAGCGCGTTGTAATTCAAATGCAGCCGTCAGCCAATCAGCGACGAGCGTTGAGCCGGCGTCAGGGAACGAGAGGCGACTTCCGACTTAGGGAACTTTCAAAATAAAACCGAACGCGTCGTTCCTCTCTGCTCGCTCTTTGTGATCAATCACAGACAGAAACTGGAGTAAAAGATCCCGATTAATGTCCGTTTGAAAAACACCTGATGCGATAATGTTCCCGGGACACAGATATTCTGGTTTTGTGACATGTAAGAATCAAAAGATTGGAGAATCAAGAGAGGGAAAACAACAGACTTTCCGGTCTAAACTTTCAAAGTAAAGACAGTACGCGCCAATTAGCTAAAAACACTTAAAGATCATGAAGAGCACAGATTTATTATGATTCTGCATCACACCTCTCAATGGAAGTTATCTCTTTACTGTGAGTCCTCATCTTTACGGTATATGTGTATGGTATAGCATTAAAGCAAAAGGTCTGAGACGAAACTCAATGTGAGTTCACACATGACAGGAGAGCAATGAAAAGAAATCAGGATTATATCAAATTTAGTATTTATTACTTAACATGTGCACATGAGGTGTTAAAATGATCCATCATCTGGTCACTTTCAATAATTAATCTAATTTTGATTAATCGCCAATAATATATGATTAGACCAGATGATTTTAGTTAAATTGTAATCCATCCAATTGATGTTGAGATATTTCATCCTAAAGATATGTCTATATTTTCTTTACATGTATTTATCATAGACTGTATAAAAAAGAGGTAGTCACTATCTGCACACACAAAAATGACAAAACGCTGAAGCTTTATGAAGTGAAAGCCACGAGATATTGATTATTTTAACCCAAATAATTGGCTGGAGAATTTCCTGAAGCTTTGAAATGTGGAAGAAACTGCATCAGCATCCCTGATTTATCCAGATAGTGGAGGTGATGGCCTCCGGGTCACAATAAGGTCATGACTGCACTTACAACACAATTCAACGTGAAATATTTCAGTCCTGGTCCCATTTCGTCTATTGATGGTTAAGAGAAATACGATCTTTAAAAAAAACAAAGTGCTCTGGTCACATTATGTGTCAAATAGAAACACAGTTATAGAATCAATTAACACTGAAACACCCCTTCTGTCTCTTTAGTTGTCTACTTATCAGTTATGGAAAATCTTTAATAACATTTAAATGTAAAATTAAACAATAACAAGACCATCATTTTTTAAAGCGTTTGTAGAAATGCTGAAACAGCTGAAGTCTTCCAGTGTAGCTCATCTATACATCCAACTGCCTGTCATGATTAATTTCTCAGCCAATCGATAGCCTATAAACAGATTGGAGAGAGGGGGAGAGAGAGAGAGAGAGGGAGAGAGGGAGAGAGAGAGAGAGAGACCATCAGCTCCAGTGAGGGAAACTTGCGGGAGCGGAGCATGCAGAGGAAGCTCCGCAGGATTCCAGTGCAGCTGCTCGGCGGGTTTTCAGGCGACAGAGGCACAAGCGTTGCGGAGCTTGTTGCGGATTACAATGATTGCAACAACTCAACAAAACATGACCACGGAGCTGGTACGTGCACGAGTTTAATGTATTTGTTGCTGTGACTTTACTTTGCATCATATTCAGAGCAGATGTGAGTGCAGCGTGCATGATGTGTGTGTGTGTGTGTGTGTGTGTGTGTGTGTGTGTGTGTGTGTGTTGTGCAGCAGAGGGATTCCTCGTGTGTGCCCCCACTACACTGTGACTATCGATTCCAGCCATTTCGCCCATTCAGACTTTTCTGCTCGTCAATATCAATCTTGTGGACTGGACACCCCTGACACCGTGCACTGCGGTGCAGGCAGCCTGCTGTAGTAACACCGACGTCCACATCCTCTCACTCCTTCATGTCCCATCCAGACTTTTAGCATCACATCTGCACCAGGAACAGTTGTAATCTTTTCCTCTAATATCCAGATGTGTCCCAGCAGACTCCCCCCCCACCCCTCCAGTGTGGACCTGCATGTGTGACAAAGGGGCTGACAGGCTGCACTCAGTGTATGATTGATTATCCCTCTGCTTGTGTTGAGGTATTGCCAGTGAAGGAAGACAATGCCATCTGTTTAATGTTCCCAGTCGATAACATAGACATACAGTCAAATATAATCCTTGCATTTTAAATGCACATCTCTTGTTCAAGTTCCTGTGTCTTCTGATTTATTTCACTATGTTTTAGTGCGAGATATTTCATGAAGGCTAATTACAGTTGAGTAGGTGGATTTAATATTCATGGCGTAACGTGTGTCCATTTCTGATCTAATAATCAGTTATTTATATTGCCGATGGACATGCCCGACGAATATCTATGCAGGACTAAATGCAGTGCTTCCCTCCATGGATAAAACTTTGTAGTGCACCATCACGCAGACATGTTATTGTGGTGCTTCTGTTTATCCACAGGGCACCGAGACCATTTAAAAATCCTGCCAAAGTCGACCCATTAACTGATTTCATCAAACTGTCACCCTCCATGAAAATCACTGCCGCAGCCCTTGTGGCAAAACTGTTCAAGAGTTTTACGTGGAGCTGTTATTAGTGAAATTAGGTCTAATTGCTGTGTGATATGAGCACGGTGATGTCTGACGTTAAGTGACACAATAACCTTATGAGATGAAATCTTTGGGAAACTTGTCTGAAATCATCTCCTGCAGCGTTAGTGTCTCCTTGAGAAGGGCCCACACACACACGGCTGCAGGGGCGTATACAGACAATCCATCAGCTGCATATGTTGCAACATTTCACGTCACTGTCTCCAATCGATAATCGACGTTCCACAGAAAAAACAATTAATAATGAGACAAATCACATGTGCACACTCTCATTAAGGTTTTCACTGCTTCACTTCACTCTGCCGGTGAGAGGATGCAGCAGGGTTTTCCAGTAATAATGTGGTTTGTCACTTGTGTCATGTGTTTGTGCGTCCTTGTTTTATGACATAAGTCTTTACCTCTTGTGGACACGTCTAACTACGAAAGAAATATCACACAAAACCATCAAGCTTTGATTCTGGCTCAGTTGGTCTCCAGGGTATTGTTTTGATGTTCATTCTCAACACAGTGGTTTCATGTTGTGTACATAGTTTATACAGCGAGCTCATTGTTGTTCCATCTATGTATTTATTTAAGCATATATCATGTGCTGAGACAGTATTTCTGTAAAGTCCCACGGCGATAAGTCGAGCATCCTTTGTTGTATCTTACTGTAACTAACACGTCATCACCGCTCCCCCACGTGTCCTTTACAGATGTTGCTTGTTCGCAGAGGCAGTAACTCGGTCACTGTGAGCGGCTGGACGTGCCGGGGGAGAAGCTGTCTCATGCACGACCCTTTTATGCTGTAATTTACTTACGCGTGATGGGGAGCATGAAAAGAATGAGACAGTGTAGGGCGGCCTTGCAGCAGCAGAGGTTAAAGCTGCAGGTCTTTCATTTCGCTGCATTGTCTGGCAAAAGCCTCGAGGGCAAAAAAGAAAAAAATCAGTCCCATATGGTGTAACTACTGCTTTTTGAGATAAGAAACACAAAGTGAGGAGCAGTGCTGCGGGGAGCGAGAGGGAGCACATACATTTCTCTGGATCTAAAAGATAAGAATCAATACTGAGCTGAAGTATCTCATTACTACAGATGCTTGGAAACCATTTATTCCAACCATGCTAAAGTTACAGCCTGCTCTAATGATGACCTTCATTTGAAATGAGGCAGTGAGAGATATTGACAAGGTAATACGTACGTGGGATACTTGCTAATCTAGAGCGTTCCCTCGTGAGCAATTACAGTGAATCATTAAAACCACGAGCATATTGGTTATATTGAAGCCTGCATGTGTCCGCCGATGGATCTCCCCTGTTTTTATGGTGGCTGCCAATGTCATGTGTGTAATAAACATCATTTCCCCGTGTTAATTGGGGGGGGGGGGTTAGAGGTATGCAAATCCAGCACCAGAATCCTCAAACAGCCTGGTTACCTCAATCCTCTGCATGTGATTTATTGTCTCAAAGACAGAGAAGATGGAGTCAGGGAGGTCTCCTGAGCCCAATTTATGAATTCTTAGCGCTGCCTGGATTCCTCAGAACCTAACTGTGGTGCATGCTGTGCAGATTGAGTAATTGTGTTAGGCACGGCCTGCTTTTATAGTGTTCAAGCTCAATCAATACAGACGCAATTGTTTGTTGTGCAGTGCTCCGAGAAAAAGGGAGCCACTTTGCTGGAATCAGTTTGTGTGCGGCGTAATAAATGGTTCATTGTGATGCTATGATTTTTAATTTGAATAGGTCGGAGTAGGTCTCGTATATTCCACGTTGGGGTGTCACACAGAGAAACAGTGCTCAACAGTCTAAAAGTCCTTGTACGTCTGTATTACCACGATTAATTGTTTCCCTTTGGACCTCATAAAACTGTACACCGTATTGATTCTCTTATTTTGAATGAGTGAATGTAAGACCTCACTCTAAAGCAGGGGTTCTGTGGTGTGACAGAATAAAAATCCCCTCGAGGGGAAACCTCGGCGGTGGATCCATAGACACACAGACCTTTGATTTGCATTCTCGCACCCTTTGGTGTTTGACTGACACCTCATCTCGGGCTTCCTCTCTCTCCCCTGCTGGATCAGGCGGGCGGAATAAAAAAGACGGCTTGCTGAGGAAGGTCAATGCGTGATTAATTCTTCATTCGGCTCAGCAGAAAACTTTCCCTGAGATGTATCGATGTTGATAGATGGAGATATGCTTGTCCATCAGGCTGCTGTGCGAGATACGCGGGGTCAGTCACATGTTGCAGCTCCTCTTCTGTTCACCTGTGCCAGCAGATTATGCTGCATTAAAGTCCCTCGTGCATCGTGACCAGCAGCCGGTCGACACCACCAGCTTGTCCTCCGCTCACTCTGGGGGATTCTGCACGTCTCATTTGCGTGTGTGACAAAAACTAATTTACACAAATAAGGGATTCTCCCTGTCAGTCTTTGCAACGATGCTAACCTTAATTGGAAGTAGGACATAATGCCTGGGC